TTTTAGGAGCCCACAGTCTGCCCCACGGGGACCGTGTGCCCACGGATCCCCTCCGTAGTCTCTTCAGGAGGGGGTTTGCTCAGTAAAAAAGCCGCGAGCGGGTCCCCCCCTCCCAGGCTGGTGGCCGAGGGCAGGCTGTACCTGTAGTAATCCTCCTTGCAGTAAATGCTGCCGTCCTTGCTGAAGCAGGTGAGCTCGGACTCCAGGTTGAGTTTACATTCACAGCACTTCAGGCAGCGCATGTGCCACTGTTTATCCACAGCCAGGAGGTAATAACGGTCGGAGATTTTCCCCCCGCAGCCGGCGCCCAGGGCAGCCCGGTCACTGCTGATGGAAGGCATGGTCTGCTGGGGGAAAACAATTACAGACCGTTAGCGAGAGGGAGAAACTCTTGTGCACTGCTGGACTCCCCCCTCCCCCTGCCCGGCTAGGGCTGGGCTTCTCCTCTCCCTCGCAGGGGCTTGGCAGAGGGGAGGAGAGGGGACCCCGAGTCAGGCTCCCCGACCTGCCTCCCGTCCCCGGGAACGCGGGTCCCCAGGGTTCCGCGGCACCCCACCTTCCCGGGAGGAGGGCGAGACAAGAAGGAAAACACCCCGGGCTTTAGGGAAGGCGCCCGGACGAGACCCAGGATTTTTTCCTTTTTTTGGGGGGATTTTCCAATCCCAGAATAAGAAAAGATGCTATTCAATAAACAGGCGCAATGATCACAGAGTCGGGCAAGTCGCAAATAGTTAATTTTAAAATTTATTATTATGGATATACGGAGAGTGTCTGCATAGTTAATGCTCCGTGAGTGCGTGTATGTGGAGCGTGTCTGTGTGTGTATTTTCCTAGCTATAAAATTCCGAGTGAATTACGATCAAACCCCCTAGTAGTCAGTCACAGTGCTACAGACACAGCTCTCTGCAAGCTGGTTCCAAACAACACGTATCCAAATCTGCTGTGGCCCAAAGCACTAAAGGGATCAGTAAATAAAACTGCGGAGGAGACGAGCATCACTAAATCCGAGGTGCAGAACGTTTTATCAGGAAAACGAAATAGTGGGAAATGCGTAGGAAAGAAAGTGGGGAAAAAACAACAGAGCACTTTAGATTATGCTGGGATAAACTTGGAAGCAATAAAACTAAATGTAACCCCTATATAATTTAATAGTTTAGTGTCAAATCGCAATCCAATCGAAACCCTGCAAAAAACAAATACACACATATTCTGTCAACTTCTACCGAAAAAGAAAGAGAGAAAAATATCGGAAACCGTTTAAGCACTCTTATTTATTTTAGCCGGCACCTTAAAACAGTATCCAAGAGAGGAGGCTCAGAGTGGAGCAGGGTTTATGGCAGACCTCGCGATGCGCTGCTGTTCACTTCCTTACAAACTTACTATCATCCACTTTGCACAAAAGCACGCTGCAGATTTGTTCTTATGCAAGAGAACCCGAAACATTTTTTACAGATGTGACAAACACGCAGTTTGTTTTGATTCGGGGGGGGGTAATGTTTGTTTGCTTTTACCTCCTCTAGAGCCTTAAGTACTTGTGCAAAGCAAAACGAAAAGACAGCTAATAGGGAAGAATCGAAAGAAAATGAAGCTTTTTTTTTTTTTTCCCCAGCATATGCTATACTGTTTACTTTCATCCAGAACTTGCAGAGATCACCAAATCCCATCGCTAGAAGCACTACTGTTTGCACGACACCATTCCCACTATCAGAACTACCTATAAATAAAATTATGGCACTACATTGGTATGTTACCCACACAGGTCCACTGATAGCTCATTTCTTTAAGGCATTAACTGAACTCTGTTTAGGGGCCGTTTTATAACCAAAGTAGTTTCTTGTAAATCCATTTAAATGGAATACGATTTTCTTGCTTTGCTTTTCTGGTAACAAAAATATTCTGAGATCCAGAAATGGTATTTAAGGATCCAATATTCTATCTCACTATTTATTGTATACACACGTGTATGCATATACCTTATATATAGATATATAAAGTTATTATGCCACAATATTTTTTTCCAGGAAAGATAACTTGATACTGTTTAATTGCACGGAGAAATATGAACTTTTCTAAAGAAAACCAAAACCATTTAGATTAGAAATCACGTTCCACTCATATAGTATAAAGGCTGTTTTTCAGCCGGTATTTCAGGATTAAATACTCTCACTGTCACCTTGAAGTAAATTTATACATAGCATTAAGAAAATTACACATGAATTAATAGCACTGATGAAGTTCTAAAAACCGAGAACAGATACTTTTCTTGTATATACCCGTATCAGTTTACAAGACAGCACTTAACCAAAATACGGGATCATTTCACTTCAGAATTACCATTTCTTTAAAAAGTAATATACATAAAATGTTGACTCAGTTAACACACATCAGAAATCTCTTCCACTTCACTAGCTTAACGCTGGTTAGAAGGATGCATCTTTTTATTATCTAAATGTATTTATACACAAGTACTACGCATCAGCAGACATAAGATAAAAAGTGGTAAAGTTATAAAAATTTGCATCCATCCGTCTCCCCGAAACATAACTTTTAGTTCTGTTTGCTATGTTCGCAAACCCAGTGTTCATATATATTACAATTATTTTTAAAAACCCCATAATTTAAAGGCACTCGATTTTGGTTGGGTTCTTTTTTTTTTTTTCTAAATGCTATAAGGACTACTTCAATGTAGACATCCTACCTGAAAAATAACACAGAATTGGATTCTTTGGTGTTCGTGTTTCCATTCTGCAGACAAAAAATTCGCTGTGCCAAAATGTTATCTGTACAAAAGCATACTTTTCCTCTTCCTAAAAACTTTGGAAGGCCGGACAGGCTGGGGGAAGGGAAGGAGTTCTTGGACGCTACCAAAAGGCTGGTCTATCTTTCTGTTTTCTCGCAAGAGCAGTACCGCTCATTTCACCCAAGCTCTACTATTACTCTGCATATTATTAACAATTAACAATTTCATGCCTTTCCCCACGGTTTTATTTAATCTTTTGGGGTGCCTTTTTGCTTAATTTTCTTCTGACTTAGCATTTTGCATACGTTTCCCCCCGATCTGTTATTTTAAGGGAAAAGCTGTATCTTTGAGGGGTTTATTACGTTTACAGGGGGTGAATGACTCCCCATCCTTCGCCTCCTACCGTTTCGGTCTCTCCCCTGTCTATAGCCGAGCTGATGGCCGGTGCTTCGCTTTTGGTTCTCCGATCCATCTCGTCGATGACCCCGTGCATCTCCGAGCCGGACAGACTGTGGAAAAGCATCGCTGAGGAAGCAGAGGAGGAGGCCCCGAGCTGCTGCTGCTGCTGCTGCTGACAGTTGTCGGGGTCCCTGCAGGAGCCCAGAACTTGCATTAACCGGAGCCCTCCCCCATGCATCTAGCACGGCCGCCTCGTCTCTCCTCGAGCTCCGGGCTTTTCACCCCGGCAAAGATCTTCGGAGCGCAGCGCAGGCACTGATCCGAGGTTTCGAGGGGATGGGGTGCAGAAAAAGAGGGCGAAGGGGATGAGGGAGAGGGGATAACTGGTGGTGTAAGCTTCGGGGCTTGGATCTAGTCTGTTGCGCGGCCCCGGCACATCCCTCTAGGAGGCTTCTTCAGTGCAGGGCTCATTGCCCCAGGTGCAGTCCCAGGCTTTATGGTCTGGCCCAGCTGTCAGAAGGCTGGGCAGGTTTACGGTTGGGAGGGATTAATAAATAATAGAAATATTAAAAAAATTAAACCATCTTCCGTGAGAAATAAATTAAGAAAAATAATAACGACAAGCCCCCTACATCGTACTGTGCGAAATTTAGAAAGGAAAGCAAGGGAGAGGGAGGCTGCAGCAGGCGGAGAGCAGGCTGGCGCTGCAAGGAGGATGGGGCGGATGCCCACCGTACGCACTCACAGTCCAGAGGGCTGGCAGCGGCAGCAGCTCAGGGGCAAAGTTTGCTCCTTCCCCCGCTCCT